CTTTGATTTCATTCAATTTTTATTTTATTTTATTTTCCTGGAATAGCCATGGACCCCCTGGGAAGTGGACACAGGGACCTTAGGGTTCCGCAGAGCACAGGTTGAGAACCACTACTCTAGAGAAAAGCACCTTGAGGAGAAGTTGGATTTGAAGAGAAAAAATAGTAGGGTTTAGAAAAGGCAGAGGAACGAGAGACCAAATTGCCAATATCCGCTGGATAATGGAGAAAGGCAGGGAGTCCCAGAAAAACATCTATTTCTGTTTTATTGACTAGTCTAAAGCCTTTGATCATAATAATTTGTGGCAAGTTCTTGGTGGGATGGAGAGACCAAACCATCTTGTCTCTCTCCTGAGGAATCTGTAGAATGACCAAGTAGCAACAGTCAGAACAGACCACGGAACAACAGACTGGTTCAAGATTGGGATAGGAGTACGACAGGGCTGTCTAATCTCACCCAACCAATTCAACTTGTATGCAGAACACATCATGAGACATGCAAGCCTTGACCAATCCAAGGCTAGAGTTAAAATTGCTGGAAGAAACAGAAACAACCTTACATATGCAGATGATATGACTTTGATGACCAAAAGCGAGGAGGAGCTGAGGAGCTTTCTAATCAAGGTGAAAGAAGAAAGCGCAAAAGCTGGGTTGCAGTTAAAAATAATAAAACACAAGATGATGGCAACCAGGCTGATTGATAACTGGCAAATGTTGTTGTTCATTCGTTCAGTCGTCTCCGACTCTTCGTGACCTCATGGACCAGCCCACGCCAGAGCTCCCTGTCGGCCGTCACCACCCCCAGCTCCTTCAAGGTCAGTCCAGTCACTTCAAGGATGCCATCCATCCATCTTGCCCTTGGTCGGCCCCTCTTCCTTTTGCCTTCCACTTTCCCCAGCATAATTGTCTTCTCTAGGCTTTACTGTCTCCTCATGATGTGGCCAAAGGACTTCAACTTTGTCTCTAGTCTCCTTCCCTCCAGTGAGCAGTCGGGCTTTATTTCCTGGAGGATGGACTGGTTGGATCTTCTCGCAGTCCAAGGCACTCTCAGAACTTTCCTCCAACACCACAGTTCAAAAGCATCTATCTACCTTCGCTCAGCCTTCCCTAAGGTCCAGCTCTCACATCCGTAGGTTACTACAGGGAATACCATGGCTTTGACTAGGCGGATCTTTGTTGCCAGTGTGATGTCTCTACTTTACTATTTTATCGAGACTGGACATTGCTCTCCTCCCAAGAAGTAAGCGTCTTCTGATTTCCTGGCCACAGTCTGCATCTGCAGTAATCTTTGCACCTAGAAATACAAAGTCTGTCACGGCCTCCACATTTTCTCCCTCTATTTTCCAGCTGTCAATCATTCTTGTTGCCATAATCTTGGTTTTTTTGATGTTTAGCTGCAACCCAGCTTTTGCGCTTTCTTAACTGGCAAATAGAGGGAGAAAACATGGAGGTAGTGACAGACTTTTTCTAGGCACAAAGATGACTACAGATGCAGACTGCAGCCAGGAAATCAGAAGACGTTTCCTTCTTGGGAGGAGAGCAATGACCAATCTCGATAAAATAGTAAAAGTAGAGACATCACACTGGCAATTAAGGTTCACATAGTTAAAGCAATGGTATTCCCCATAATAACCTATGGATGTGAGAGTTGGACCATAAGGAAGGCTGAGCGAAGGAAGATAGACACTTTTGAACTGTGGTGCTGGAGGAAAATTCTGAGAGTGCCTTGGACTGCGAGAAGATCAAAGCAGTCCATCCTCCAGGAAATAATGCCCGACAGCTCACTGGATGGAAGGAGATTAGAGGCAAAGATGAAGTTCTTTGGCCACATAATGAGAAGACAGGAAAGCTTGGAGAAGGCAATGATGCTGGGGGAAATGGAAGGAAAAAGGAAGAGGGGCCAACCAAGGGCAAGGTGGATGGATGGTATCCTTGAGATGACTCGTTTGACCTTGAAGTAGCTGGGGTGGCCACGGCCGACAGGGAGCTCTGGCCTGGGCTGGACCAGGAGTTCACCAAGAGTCAGAAATGACTGAACGAAAAAACAACAACAAGCAATTCCTCTCACCCCTTTCCTACTACAATTATGTATTAAGCAACAAATATAAAAACTGATTCTAAGACATATTTATTATTTCAAAGAACCATCGAGTATTGAAAATGGGGTGGGGAGAAAAGCAACTTTTGGTGAAGCAGAGAAATAGTGTTTTGGAGTTCTCTGGAATTCCTCTACTTTCAATACTGATCTATAACACATTTAATTATCGCAATATTAAGGCAAAAATGTGCTGGTTTAGACAGGGTGTTGAGAACTGGGTCCCGTTTTGACTGCATTTGTTTCTGGTACCTGCCCAAAATTACATTGCTGTAAATGTGCAAAGAGAATCCCAAAGAAGATGCTTAACAAGGAGCACTTTATCCACAATATTATGTCTCCACCATTTGCCTCCATTAATCACAACAGTTACCCTGTGTATTAAAGCACAAGGTTGCCTCTGTCCTGGCTTTCTGGCCAGATGCCTGGGGTGCCTTTCCAGGATGCGGCTGCATCATCTCAATTTCCGCTGCGCCCTTGGATCCTTGGCTAATTCCCTAAATATTTTTAAAAAGATGCCACACCTTACATTCAAAGCTTGGGATAATTTGGAAATATTCAGAGCTGCCTCTGAAGATGCTTCTTTCTCACTGATTCCTGCTAAAATCACAGGACTATTCAATTTCATTGAGCAAACAAGTTCTCCTCTCTTTTGCTGGCTGTCCTCTCCCTGCTAATTTGGGCAAAATGTACGACGGCATGATTAACTGAGTTGCTACAGGAAAATAAGACCTACTCAATCACTTTCAAAAAGAGAATATCTATACTCATAACGTTAGACAGTGGGGTCTCAAATCTCTTAGTGTCATCTAGTTCAATTTCTTGTATAATATGTTCTTAAACGTTCATCCAAATGGTCCTTTTGTGTCTCCTCATTGTTTGTTTCTAGCACCTGGCAGGAAGAGATGCAGAAGTTCACAATGTGGAACTTCAATGCAGATCGTTGTTGCTTATTCGTTCAGTCGCTTCTGACTCTTGGTGACCTCCTGGACCAGCCCACGCCAGAGCTCCCTGTTGGCCATGGCCACCCCCAGCTCCTTCAGAGTCAAGGCAGTCCCTTCAAGGATACCATCTATCCATCTTGCCCTGTGCTTGTGTTAGGAAAGGAAAAGTCTTTCCCTTTACTCGCTCCTTTAACACCGTGAAAATTCAGACAACCTCACAAAAGCATCCACAGGTTTCTCGCTAGCCAATGAAAATAAAATATGGCATGTAAAAAGAATAAGTTTATTGTCGAAGACTTTCATGGCTGGAATCACTGGGTTGTTGTAGGTTGTTTAGGGCTATATGGCCATGTTCTAGAGGTGACCTCACAACCTCTGAGGATGCTTGCCATAGTTGCAGGTGAAACGTCAGGAGAGAATGCCTCTAGAACAGTGTTTCTCAACCTGGGGGTCGGGACCCCTGAGGGGGTCGCGAGGGGGTGTCAGAGGGGTCACTGAAGACCATCAGAAAACACAGTATTTTCTGTTGGTCATGGGGGGTTCAGTGTAGAAAATTTGGCCCAGTTCTATTGTTGGTGGGGTTCAGAACGCTCTGATTGCAGGTGAACTATAAATCCCAGCAACTACAACTCCCAAATGTCAAGGTCTATTTTCCCCAAACTCCACTGGTGTTCATGTATGGGCATATAGAGTATCCATGCCAAGTTTGGTCCAGATCCATCATTGTTTGAGTCCACAGTGCTCCCTGGATGTAGGTGAACTACAACTCTCAAACTCAAGGTCAATGCCCACCAAACCCTTCCAGTATTTTCTGTTGGTCAGGGGAGTTCTGTGTGCCACGTTTGGTTCAATTCTATTATTGGTGGAGTTCTGAATGCTCTTTGATTGTAGGTGAACTATAAATCCTAGAAACTACAACTCCCAAATTACAAAAAAAAAAAAATCCCTCCCAAGGGGTTCAAATGTGGACGTATTGGGTATTTGTGTCAAATTTGGTCCAGTGAATGAAAATACATCATACATTTCAGATATTTCCATGACGTTTCATAACAGTAGCAAAATGACAGCAACAAAAATAATTATATGGTTGGGGGTCACCACAACCCGAGGAACTGTATTAAGGGGTCGCAGCATTAGGAAGGTTGAGAACCATTGCTCTAGAACATGGCCATTTATTTATTTATTTATTTAAAAGTTTTGTATACCGACCTTCTCACCTCTCTTGAGGGACTCAGACTGGTTTATAGCCCGAAAAAACCTACAACCACCCAAGAATAAGTTTGTGAGTGAAATCTTAATTTGGATAGTGAAAGAATTAAAAAAGGCTAAGGCAATGACTTTGATGGGCATATAAGGAGCTAGGTAAAGGTTTCCCCTTGACATTATGTCTAGTGTATTCCAACTGGGGGGTGGTGCTCATCTTCATCTCTAAGCCAAGGAGTCGGCGTTATCCGTAGACACCTCCTAGGTCATGTGACCAGCATGACTGCATGGAGTGCCATTACCTTCCCGCCGAAGTGTTACCTATTGACCTACGCAAGTTTACATGTTTTCGAGCTGCTAGGTTGGCTTCTGCTGGGCCTAACAGTGGGAGCTTACCCTGCTAGATGAGCGTTGAAATGCTATGACCCACTGGTATTTTCCACAGTAATGAGCATTAAAAAGAGCAATGACACACAGACCATTTAGTTGTAAACAGAACATAGAATCACAAGTTATTTCCTGAACAGAAGACAACAAAGGGTTCCCGAACAGATGATTGGTGTACAAGTCATAACTCATGATACCAGGGATGGGGGTGTTGCAGCTCCTCTGTCTGAATTGGAGGAAACCGTCTTCATGATTGCTAATATAATACAGAGTACATAATATAAATTAGGATTGCTAACAATCCTTCAGCCATAAAATACAATTTGTGAAGTGAACACTGCTATCCCAGACTGCTATCTCCAAAAACAATACCTTTTTCAGCTGCTGCTCTTTAAAACATTTCACTGCTCTGGCAGGTTCCGAAATTAAGTTCTTGTAGTTTTCACAGATATTGAGCCTGGACTGAGCCACCTGCACTGTGCCTTCAAGAAACGATTTCCACACTGGATACATGCTCCTAAAACACAGGGGGAATGTCCATGAGTGGAGAGGGCAAAGAAGGAACTAAGAGAGACATGATAAAGGATTCTACTGCTGTTAGTAGTTTACATTAACTTAATCGTTTCTGTACGGCTTCACAAAATCAGATTATGATTCATTCTTAACAGTGAAATACAAACTCTTCCATTAAACTGCCCTGGGATCTAGCACTTGACCAGTTTCAATTGATAGTGCCGATGAATGAGTTATATGAGGTATACTCGTAAGATGCTATTATATGTGGGAAATCTGAAGAATGTTGTTACTACAGGGTATTTTATTCCCAGTTTTGGGAGAAAAACAGAATAGGAATATATTTATTAAAATTTAAAATAATATGGTGGACTCTGGCCACATTTAGAACACTGATATGTAACATGATTTTAGGCCCATTTTTTGGGTTATGTTTTCTATCTTCGGGGCATCTTTTAGGGTATAATCTATTCTGAAAGTTTCTTCCAAAGCCACTCACAGGGAAATGAATTGAAGAAAAATATCCTATTCCATTAAGAAAATATATTATCTATGCATCCATCTGTGTCTGTATGCATTTGAACTGAATCCACTTGCTCATTGGGGGAAGAGGTTTAATAATAATAATAATAATAATAATCCCCGCCACCATCTCCCCAATGGGGACTCGGGGTGGCTTACATGAAGCCAAGCCCAACAGCATATTACAATAAAGTAAAACCAAAACACAATAACAACACAGTAAAATACATACAACATATGAGTGCAAAGATGATAAAGCAAAATAATACAAAGTAAAATAACATAACATAACCATGAGAGCCATTCAGCAGTGGAACTCTCTGCCCCGGAGTGTGGTGGAGGCTCCTTCTTTGGAAGCTTTTAAGCAGAGGCTGGATGGCCATCTGTCAGGGGTGATTTGAATGCAATATTCCTGCTTCTTGGCAGGGGGTTGGACTGGATGGCCCATGAGGTCTCTTCCAACTCTTTGATTCTATGATTCTATGAGCGGGCCGCATGTGCAAGATAAGAACTAAAATACTAAAAATACTAAAATCAGGATGAGATAGGGATGGAGCAGATTGTTTGTGGGGGAGAAACTCGTAAAGGAACGGGGTCATAAATATAAACCTTCATACAGGTGGGGAATATACTCTGGGGACAAAATTTATACCGTTTTTGAACATTACAAACATGGTTTTATTGTTCTATTCAACCCGGCAACATTATTCAGATTTCTTGGGTATATTGCCACCTTATAAATAAGTATATTTGTGTCTTAGGATGCAAGTATACTTATTCATAAATATATGGAACAGCAGAGAACTCTGCCAGTGATTCAACTATGTTCACTATCAGTTACAAAGCAGTAAGTAATTGATCACATTTTGTGGGGAGCAAAATCAAACAATGCAAGACATTTGAAATGAGTATATTTCTCAGAACTACCTGAAATCATTTCGCTCTTCAACTTTTATCCCAGGCCACTCTTTCTTTAAGTACTGGCTAGCCAATTTCTGGATGCCCTGTGAAAATATAAAGAAAAAGCATTATTTAAAAATGAACGTGTGCAATAAGCATTTCTCCAGTAAAAATTCAATAACATTTTAAAGAAGGAAGTGGAGTAAGGTCCCTGTCTACAGTACTGGACATAAATTTTCAATGGGGCTTTTAAGAATTCAATTGCTGAAACCCACAAACACAATTAAACAGCAAGATCATGTAAAGATGTATGTCGGAAGGTACCCAAGCAATTTGTTTGCTCTCCTACTTAGAATTCCATTGGAACAGTATTATAATAAAACTTTATTTATATTCCACCCTATCTCCCCTTAGGGACTCCTGTGATTCCTCATAGGAGTTAATACTAGAGTAACATTATTTTTAATGGTACATATGAGAAAATTCCCCTATCAGTTAGTGGTACAATAACCTGATGCAAACTGCAATTATTTGTACTATTTGACGCTGAGATCAGGAAATAAATATCAAATAGACTATAACTCCTGCTGCTCAACCCTGTCCTTGCCAACCAAAACCATCTCTTAATGTTAGTGCCAAAACAGCCCATTTTGCAAGGATGATTTTGCATGCTAAGGTAAATAGTAATATCATGGAATGTCTTAGAAGAGCTGAACTCCTTTTGCAGGTTTACAAGACAAAAAAAGGAGGACTTCGGGGAATGAAACAGCAAAATGAGGATGGCATTCTCCCTTCCCTCTGCTGCGCCTGTGTATTTTGAACTGCAATTGGGGTTTTGGAAATCAATCTCAGGGGATGTTAAAGGTAAAGGTAGTCCCCTGACATTAAGTCCAGTCATGTCTGACTGTGGGGTGTGGTGCTCATCTCCATTTCTAAGCCGAAAAGCCAGCGTTGTCCGTAGACATCTCCAAGGTCATGTGGCCGGCATGACTGCATGGAGCGCCGTTACCTTCCCGCCGGAACGGTACCTATTGATCTACTCATATTTGCATGTTTTCGAACTGCTAGGTTGGAATAAAGGCTGCAGGAGTGAAAAGTAGGAAGATCTGCTGGTGTTGGGGCCCTTCCACACAGCCATATAACCCAGAATATCAAGTCAGATAATCCACAATATCTACTTTGAACTATATTATCTGAGTCCACACTGCCATATAATCCAGTTCAATGTGGATTTTATACAGCTGTGTGGAAGGAGCTCAAGTCTCAGAGCCATCCAAGATTTGGGCCACTCAACTGTTAGGCTTTAGGTCTCCTGAATTAACTGATATAAATCGTGCATATGTGGTTTCTTCATCTTTATATTTAAAAATTCAACTTACGTATGTTTGTGCTTGCAAAACTCGAAAAGTAGTTGGCTGATTGACTTGAAATTTTAACACAACATTGCACTCCAATGCGCACATGTTTTTATAGTAAAATGAAATTTTGACACAATGTTGCATTCAAATCTGTACATGTTTTTAGACTAAAACAAGCAGTCCTGGAAAAGACAAAGTGGCCACAAAAATGACTCCAGCACCCTCTCTTATGAAAGTTGTCCAAAAGAAAATCTGTGTTTCCCATAGTAACCAAACACAACCTAGCTTTCATTTTACCTCAGCAGCATAAGAAATGAAAACTGAGCTCTAGCAACCAATCGCACCACAGCTTTCCTTTTGCCTCAGCAGCACAAGAAATAACAACCAATCATAGAGCAGCTTTCATTGTACCACTGCAGTACAAAAAATTAAAACCAACCACAACACAGATTTCCCTTTACTTCAGCAGTATATGAAATACCAACCAATCAAAGCAGCTTTCATTTTACCTCAGCAGTATAAGAAATGAAAACTGAGCTCTAGCAACAATCGCGCCACAGTTTTCCTTTTACCTCAGCAGCATAAGAAATAACAACCAATCATAGAGCAGCTTTCATTTTACCACTGCAGTAGAAGAAATACAACCAACGACAGCACAGCTTTCCTTTTACTTCAGCAGTATAAGAAATACCAACCAATCAGAGCAGCTTTCATTTTACCTCAGCAGTATAAGAAATGACAGTTGAGCTGTCATTAGTTGCTATTGGCAATGAAAATAGTACAGGGGAAGTCAATGAGTTTGGGGGTATTATTTACGCCAGTATTCATCAGAGTATTATTTACGCCAGTACCTTTCCTTTTACTTTAGCAGTATAAGAAATACCAACCAATCAGAGCAGCTTTCATTTTACCTCAGCAGTATAAGAAATGATAGCTGAGCTGTGATTAGTTGCTATTGGCAATGAAAATAGTAGAGGGGAAGTCAATGAGTTTGGGAGTATTATTTACGCCAGTATTCATCACCTGGTGCTGGCAGCCTTTAGTCTTCAATCATAGTACCACATTCATATTATTCACTTTCACATTCATTCTATATCAGACTGAGTCACAGTGAAGTGTGGCCGGGTTTTGCTTGTTTTAAACATTAATTTTCAAATGGTGAGTTTTGACCAATTTGTTAGGAAGTCATGGGAGCTTTTGCCGAGTAAGTTAGAAGAACTGCACAAAGTGATTTGGAACCAGCCTGGCATACTGGTAAATCAGATTGTTAGGGCTTGGCAGAGGGAGTTCTTGACATGACTACCACTAAGTAATTAACCCATGTTAAGTTATACAATTTGAGCTGACATGGTCTTAAAACCAATAAAAGTAACTTGCAATCAATCCTTATTCCCTGGGACAGCGCTGGAAAGATCAATGACACACACATACACACCAAGCTAGGAGGAAAAACAGTCCTCTCGCTGGCGTATGCCCAGTTAAAAGGCTTGAACTTCTGAGGTTTTGGGCATGTCACATAGTAAGTCATAAATGGTGGTGACAGTAGCTCTTTTTCAGTCAGCAGCACATTCAAGTTTGTATTCCTAGTCAGTAAAGAGTATAAGGTTCTCCTTGTTCTGCGCTCAAGGCCACTTGCGGCTTCTTTCCTCAAAAGGTCCCTGAGACAGAGACCATCACTGTTTGGCTCCAACTGGGAAAATGACCAATAGTTTAACCTTCGACATAGTTTCATTGGAAATGAGGCCCAGGAGCGAGTATAGGACTTGCCCATGGGTCACTTGGCACCCTTTTAATTCAAACAGTCAGGACTGTAATATTTAAATGCACCGGGGGGGGGGGGGGGGGGTTGTTGGTGGTGGTGGTCCCATTACAGTAGAAATGATATTAAACCTAATAGTTGCATATGTTTGTATGTGTAGACATAAGTATTGTGATAACTTAGACTGAGTAGACGCATGATTCAAACATCCCTATGCTATAGGATGTCTCTCTCCATAGAAAAGACCCAATATCTCATTTCTACAAAAACCTAGGTCAAAAACGATGAAGGTTCAATCAAGGGACACCACAGGAGTCCTCAAGGTGATAGAAGGAAAGTAAAAAATGGTTCAAAATTTTTTTGAACCATTTCAAGAAATTCCCACCATGACACTAATTCCCACCATGACACTAATAAATATGGCAATACACAGTTACCATTTTCCCAGCCCATCACCTTTCAATGCTACATTTTATTTATTTATTATTTCACATACTTGTATCCCGCCCTTCTCACCTCCGAGGGGGACTTAGGACGGCCTCACAGCAAACACCATTAGATGCCATCATAATGATAAGAACAATCAACAAATTCATTAAAATAAAACATTAAATAAACGTTTGTTAAAACACGCAAATTAAAATCTGGGTCAATCCATTGTCACTTCGAAATTGCTTATGTCTTCTTCATACAAGCCGCTGTTCAATGGTCAAATGCAAGGTCCCACAGCCAAGTCTTGAGTTTCCTTCCACAGGACAGAAGGGAGGTGGCCAGCCTGATGTCTTTGGGGAGGGAATGGCACAGACGGGGAGCCACTGTTGAGAAGGCCCTGTCTCTCGTCTCCATCAATCGTGTTTGCGACGGCGGTGGGATCGAGGGCAGGGCTTCTCCAGATGATCTTAAACTTCGTGATGATTCATAGTAGGAGATATGTTTGGATATATAGTCTGGGCCAGAGCTTTAAAGGTTAAAACCAGCACTTTGAATTGTGCTCGGAAGCAGATTGGCAACCAGTGGAGCTGGAGTAACAGAGGAGTTGTATGCTCCCTGTATGCTGCTCTGGTGAGCAACCTGGCTACTGACCGTTAGACTAATTGAAGCTTCTGGGCAGTCTTCAAAGGCAGCCCCACATAGAGCACATTGCAGTAATCTAATCAGGATGTAACAAGAGCGTGGACCACTGTGGTCATGTAAGTCCCTTGATATAGGTATAACGCAATGGTTGTCAACCTTTCTAATGTTGCGACCCCTTGATACAGTTCCTCATGTTGTGGTGACCCCCAACCATAAAAATTATTTTCGTTCCTACTTCATAATTGTAATTTTGCTACTGTTATGAATCATAATGTAAATATCTGATAAGCAGAATGCATTTTCATTCATTGGACCAAATTTGGCACAATACCCGATACGCCCAAATTTGAATACTGGTGGTGTTTTGTCATTTGGGAGTTGTACTTGCTGGGATTTATAGTTCAACTACAATCAAAGAGCATTCTGAACTCCACCAATGATGGAAGTGACCCAATCTTGGCACAGAGAATTCCCATGACCAACAGAGAATACTCGGAAGGCTTTGGTGGACATTGACCTTGGGTTTTGGAGTTGTCGTTCACCTATATCCAGAGAGCACTGTGGACTCAAACAATGGTGGATCTGGACCAAACTTGGCCCAAATACTCAATATGCTCAAAGTGAACACTGGTGGAGTTTGTGGAAAACAGACCTTGACATTTGGGAGTTGTAGTTGCTGGGATTTATAGTTCACCTACAATTAAAGAGCATTCTGAACTCCACCAATGATAGAATTGGGCCAGACTTCCCACACAGAACCTACATGACCAAGAGAAAATGCTGTGTTTTCTGTTGGTCTTTGGTGACCCCTCTGACACTCCCTCACGATCCCTCCAAGGGTCCCAGCCCCCAGGTTGAGAAATGCTGGTAAAATGCTTAAACCCATTTTTGTGTAACTGAGCTAATCAGTGAG